GTTTAATCCCTAGTACCCAAAAAAAGAAGCAAGAAACACTTTTCCCAGAGTTATCCCCTCCCCCGTTTCTCTTCAACACATCTCCACCTGACCTGTACAATACGCCAGGCTACTGGCATCCCAGGTGGGGAGAATGAGACCACCACACCTTGGCACACACCAGTAATAATTCTCCTCTCAAAATCCTGGAGTCGGGCCACCCTGCCTTGAAAAACACCATCACCCATTCTGAACTAAATTGGTTCAGAGATAGAGTAAGGCCATTTGGRCTTCAACTAATGCTATCTACTAAGCTAGTGACCAAGATCACATCATTATATTTCTCAGCACATTAAGAAGTTGCATGACAGGGCTGGGGCTGGGGCTCAGTGGTAGAGTGCTCACTTAGCATGCWTAAGGCTCTGGGTTCGATCCCCAGCACCGCACAAATATAAAATATATTGTATCGATCTAAAACTAAAAAAAATAAATTAAAAAAAGAAGTTGCATGATAGACTAATATATGCAAAAGCTTGTGAGCTGGACAGAGGTGAGATTGAATTCCAGACTGGCCTTCAACTTGAGATCCTTTTGTCTCAGCCTCCTGAGTCACTGGGATTTCAGACCTGTGCCACCACGCCTGGCCAGAAAGTCTTCTACTCACTTTTTACTCAACTTACTTGCTAAATTCGCTGCTTTTTCTTTCTTTCTTTTTTTTTTTTCTGGGTGGGGGTTGTGGTAGAGGATAATAAGGATTGAACTCAGGGGCACTTGACCACTGAACCACATCCCCAGTCCTACTTTGTATTTTATTTAGAGACAGGCTCTCACTGAATTGCTTAGTGCCTTGCTTTTGCTGAGGCTGGCTTTGAACTCAACGATCCTCTTCCTCAGCCTCCTGAGCCGCTGGAATTACAGGTGTGCGACATTGCACCCAGATTAAATTCACTGATTTTTAAAAATGTATATGTTGTTGGATTCCCTAAGATTCTCTACATGCACAATTACCATCTAAGAACAATGATAGTGGGCTGGGGATGTGGCTCAAGCGGTGGCGCGCTCGCCTGGCATGCGTGCGGCCCGGGTTCGATCCTCAGCACCACATACAAAGATGTTGTGTCCGCCAAAAACTAAAGAATAAATATTAAAAAATTCTCTCTCTCTCTCTCTCCTCTCTCACTCTCTCTTAAAAAAAAAAAAGAACAATGATAGTCTTCTTTATTTCCAATATTTATACTTTTTATTACAAATCAGAAGAATAGGGATTGTCTTTGGGGCTGGCCACATTTCCAGGTCCTGGTTGGTAGAAGGCATGAGAGGGATTCAGAGGTTCTGGTATGTCCTAAATCTTGGTAGTGGCTACACAAGAAAGTTCCTCTCATTCATTGAGGTGTATACTTTCAACTTGTGAATTTTTCTATTTATAGTATACTTCAATTATAAGTTTAATAACATCCTTGTGGTGGTTTCAAATAAATTTAAAGATTGGCATTGTCTTCCAAACATGTCTGTAAATAATTCTCTGTTAAATTTCTTGAGTATGATCTGGACTCATGACTCTTTTCTTTTTATGGGGCCGGGGAACTGAACCCTAGGGCACTCAACCAATGAGCCACATTCCCAGCCCTTTTTTAAATTTTTTTGAGATAGGGTCTTGCTAAGTTGGTTAGGGCCTTGCTAAGTTGCTGAGACTGGCTGTGAACTTGAGATCCTCCTGCCTCAGCCTCCTGAGTTGCTGGGATTACAGGTATGCACTACCGCGCCTGGCTTGTGACTCATTTCCAGTGAATATTAACATGGGGATTTGATGGTAAATTTAGGTTATAAAAAGCACTGTGGCTTCCTGCTCATTCTTACACTTCTTGTTTTGGAAGAGTGTGTTAGTCAACTTTCCAATATTGTCACAGAATACCTGAGAAAAACAACTTAAAGGAGGAAAGTTGTGTTTTAATTCATAGTTTCAGAAGTTTCAATTTGGCCTTGTTGATTCTGGGCCTGTGGTGAAGTAGAACATCACAGCAGAGAGTTTGTGACGGAGCAAAGCGGCTCACCTCAAGGTGACCAGGAAGAGAGAGATGGGGGGTGGGAGGAGGAGAAAGAAGGAATCAGGGACAAGATATACTCTTCAAAGTCAGGCCCTCAGTGACCTCTTTCCTCCTAAAGTTTCTACCATCTCCCAAAGTGCCACCAGCTGGGGAACTAGCCTTCAAACAAGGGCCTTTGGGACATCCCAGATCCAAGCCATAACAGAGATGTTAGTGCTGTGAGAACACAAGTCCTCCAACCAGTACAGATGATTGCAACCCTGGCTGACATTTTCCCTTCCTCCCTCTTTCTCTTTCTTCTTTCTTTCCTTCTCGACAGGGTCTCACGGTATTTCCCAATCTTCCCACCTCAGCTCCTCGGGTAACTGGGATCCCAGGCATCCGCCACCATGCCCGACCTGGCTAACATCCTGACGGCAGCCTCACAAGGATCCTGAGTCGCAGCCACCAAGCTAAGCCACCCTTGGATTCCTGACTCCCAGAAATTGTGTGAGATAACATGTGCATACTATCTTAAGCAGCTACAATTATCTAGTAAAAATCGCCCTAAAAATTGTTGGCCTGACAGGATCAAACTGCACCTCTGAACATATGTCTACCCCACCCCCTCCTCCAAGAATGGGCCATTGTTAGCACCTCCTTGGGAACCTGGATGTTGGGAACCCAGACACCATGCAGCTAAGGATTCAGTGAATCCTGGTGGGCACAGAGGTGGCACATGGTGTGTGCGCAGCTCACTACCCCTCTTCTTTTTTTAATTTTTAGTTGGACAAGATACCTTTATTTTATTTTTATGTGGTGCTGAGGATYGATCCCAGGCCTTGCATGTGCTAGGCGAGCGCTCTACCACTGARCCGCAACCCCAGCCCCTCACTACCCCTCTTCTTGATGCCAAAAAAGAGACAGAATTCATGCCAGCATGAGAGGCCATTTATTGCTCAGGGGCTGGACCCCCACGTTTTGGGGGAGCCCCCCCACTACTTCCTCCCCCCATTGTCCCCGTGGACCCCTCAAGTGGCAGGTTGCTGAGCTGATCGTGGAGGGAGCACATCTTCAGGTGTAGATAGTCCAGAGTGGCCACCTTCTCCCTGTAAGGGCAGACAGTGGGGAGTCAGCACTGGGGTGGCTTGGTGTTGGGGTGTGGGAGTGAAGGGAGGGGTTCAGGCCCTTTCCCAAAAATCTCACGCTCCTCCCATGCCCTCAGCCTCCTTCCTCACTCCGGCTTCATCTTGTCCGTCAGCAGCAGGTTCTTGGCCCGCAAGGCCTCGTCTTGGGCCAGCCGAAGGGTGGAGCTCAGGGCCTCTGCCCTGACGTGTTTGGCCAAGGCCTGGCGCTCCAGCTCCTGGGGAGAGGAGTGTAGGTGCCGCTGGGCTTGCTGTACTGGGCTGGGAGTGGAGGGGGAGCTGGATCGCGGAGGCCAGGGGCAGGGTCCCATGGGGCCCACATTCCTCCCCAGGTATCCCATCATGCCTTGAGGCTGAAGCCGACCCTGGCATCCCACAAGGCACTGGTTGCACTAACCCTGTGTCTATTCCTTGATGCACTGGCCTATGTCTCAGCAAGCACTAAGTCACATCTAAGACATTGTCCCCCAAAGCTCATGAACCATCCTGTATTTGATATGCATGTGCCCACCGTGTTGTGACCTTCCACATCCCGGAAGAACCSGTGTTTCCTTATCCACAAGACCAGAGTCTCTCACAAGATCAGTCCTTAGGGCTCTGGTTCTCTATATCCCACAGTGCACCAAGCCCATGTGCTCCCCTGTACCCGTCCTGGGGCTCTGCCACATCAACATCCCAGGCTGCTTATCATCCATGAGGTCAGTGTTCCGTAATACAGTGGGTCTCCATGTCCCACAATGCACCAGGACTCAAGTCCCAGCAGGTACTGGGCTTCAGACTGTTGCCCCAAGAAGAGATGTGGTTCCATTTCCCATGATGCAGTAGCTTATGGTGACCAAAAGTCACTGGGTGCCCTGTCCGGCCTCACTGATCTCTGGCTGATTTCACTGATTACTGATCTCACTGCCTCTCTGAAGGTCTGGCCGGGGAAATCAGGCCAATGTCCCATGAACTTTTAGACTGGTATCTGCCTCCTGGTCCCCTGGTACACCAGATGCAATGTCCCATCATGCCTTGGACCCAAATCTAGAGCCCAGAGTTCCAGAATGATTGGCCTATGACTCAAACCACCAAGCTGCTTGCCCCTCCCCCTATGCATCAGAATTAAGTCCACCCCCAACAACTGCTGCCCACAGCTCAGCTCTTCCCTTCTGGTCACACACCAGCAGTACCCTCGTGCCCAGGACTCCGTGTCCCCTGCCCTGACAGAAAAGTAAAGTGGGGCATGGTAGCCCATGGTCCCTGGTACCAGAATCTTCTTGTGTAGCCTCTGGCAGCTGGGACAAGCAGGAGCCAGGCCCCTCTGCTTCACCTCGTCCACTAGCGGGGTCAGCGCTCGCTCCAGCAGATGCTGCAGGGACTCCGAAGACAACTGCTGCCCCTGGCTGGGGGCGGGAAGGGTAGTCACCAGACGAAAGAGGCCCAGTACCAACTCCATCCTCAGGATGCCCATGCACACCTTCCCAGGCTCCACCTGGCTCTGTTTCCATTATGCACCCCATACAACCTTCCACCCACGCACTGGGGACACCCCATGGTGTATCAGGTGTCCTTTGGTTCCTACTACTTAAGGGCACCATCAGTCCTTGGTTTCCAAAAGCCATCAAGAACTCACATTTCCTCTAGTGCACAAGTTAAACCTGATCTCAAGTTGTACAAGGAATTCCCCCTTCCCACAATGAACCCAGTGTGGTAGCCTTTTTTTCCCACCACACACGAGGTCTCACTTTCTGCACCATGCAGGGAGAAACCCCGCTTCCTACCATGTACCACATCCCGACCTTCCCGCAATGCACTGGACATACATGATGCTCCAAATGTAGCAAAACGCTATATTTAGCTTGTGGGAAGGGAAGAAATGTCGTTCCCATTACTCAGCACGACTGACTGATTCTACCACACGCTGTCTCCCACAATGAACACCCCTCTCCCCCTTGCTGATACCCCATCTCCTTCAATGCGCTATCCTCCCAGGGACTCAGGAAGCTGGCCCCACCCCCATACCTGGCACAGCGGGCACAGGAGCCTTGCGTGGATCGATCCAGGCTCATGGAGTGGTCAGGTCCTCTTCGGGGGTTCTGAAATTGCCGCCCCAACTCCTCCAGAATCGGTTTCACTGGGCCAAGCCCCTCCAATTCGCTCCTCAGTGAAGCCACAGACACAGCTGATCGCTCCACCCTGAGCAGGAGTGTAACCAATGCTGTGTGGTAGACTTCACCCACCATTGGTCCAGCACCTGAGTCTCCATCAAGTCTTCAATACTCTGCCCTGCCCACCCCTCTTGCTCTGTTGGCTCCTCCTTTTGTATTTTAACATCTGGACTGCCTTCGCCCTGTTTCTAGATGACTTTCCCTGATCCCTGGTGTCCACTCTAGATCTCTTTGGGGCTTGGAACACACCCCTTCTCTAATTGGCTCCATCCCTCGTTCTTTAATATGCATACACCTCTTCCTGCTATCTAATTGGCGCTTCCCAACGTCACAGATCCGGACCGCTCAGAACCCCGCTGATTGGCCCACCCTTTTTTCCCTCAAGACTCCGCCCCCTTGATGGCTTCGCCCCACCCCTTCGTGGCCACACCAGCCCCACCCCACGCACCGGCCCCAGCCCTCACATGGTGCACAGCTCGTCTGCCCGACCCCGAAGCTCCTGCAAGCCTCGGGCGGTCTGAGCTTGCTCGCGTTGCGCCCGCTCCCACTGGCCCAGAAAGCCGTCGAGCCTGCCGCCCAGGCCCCCTAGCAGCCGCAGGGCCTCCTGCACAGCCCCCTCCTCCTGATGCCACCGTGCGGTCAGCGAGGACACCTCCCTCCTGGAGGGGAAGAGGGATAGAATAGCGGGGGATTAGGTTAGGTCACGCTGCACTRTACCCACCCGGAGCTCCAGACCCAGCCGGTCCCCAAATTCTCTTGTGCCTCTGGTCATGTCCTCCAGAATTCTGCCTTGTCAGTTAGCCTGGGCCTTCCGTGTCAGGTCCCCGTCTCCACCACTGCGCCTACAGACGCCATCTCTCCAGGACACCTCTCCCCTCTATCCTGCCCACTCAGATTGGTCACTAGGCCCGGCTTCCCTGAAGCTCCGCCCACCTCGGTTTCACTGGAGGTAGACCTACCAACCCTGACTCAAAAATTAGTTCTTTGCGTGAAGAGAGCGCCTGCAGAATGGAAGAAAATCTTTACCACACGCACCTCAGATAGAGCACTAATCTCCAGGATATATAAAGAACTCAAAAAACTTAACACCAAAAAACAACCCAATAAATAAATGGGCTAAGGAACTGAACAGACACTTTGCAAAAGAAGAAATACAACTGATCAACAAGCATGGAAAAAAAATGTTCATCATCTCTAGCAGTTAGAGAAARGCAAATCAAAACTACTCTTAAGAGCCAGGGGTAGTGGTGCACGCATGCAATCCCAGCAACTGGGGAGGCTGAGACAGGAGGATTGCGAGTTCAAAGTCAGCCTCAGCAAAAGCAAGGCACTAAGCAACTCAATGAGACCCTGTCTCTAGATAAAATTCAAGATAGAGTTGGAGATGTGGCTCAGTGGCTGAGTGCCCCTCGATCCCTGGTACCAAAAAACCCTAAGACTTCATTTCACTCCAGTCAGAATGGCAATTATGAAGAATACAAGAGGGCTGGGGTGTGGCTCATTGGCAGAGTGCTTGTCTAGCATATGTGAGGCACTGGGTTCTATTCTCAGCACCGCATGTAAATAAATAAAATAAAGATCCATCAACAACTAAAACAAAAATTTTAAAAAGAATACAAGCAATAATAAGTGTTGGTGAGGATGTAGGGAAAAAGACACACTCATACACTGCTGGTGGGACTGCAAATTGGTGCAGCCAATATGGAAAGCAGTATGGAGAGTCCTAACTTGGTATGGAACCACCCACAACACTTAGGCCCCGCCCCCAAGATATTTGACCACCAGCAAGGTCCCGCCCGCGTATCACCTGGAGGTGACATCCCTAGGCCCCGCCCACCTCAACTCCTCAAGACCGGCGGAGACCTTCTGCAGCTCCTGATCGCTCCCATAGGGGCTCTCTCCTGACCGGGGTGCGGTTCCCCAGCCCACCAGGCCGCGCAGCCGAGGGGGTTCTTCGGGACTCCCTGGTGGGCCGGAGCAGCCCAGGTTGGGACCAGCAGAGCCCAGGCCGTGCCGGGAGAAGCCGGCCTCCAGCTTCTGCTCCAGCTCCTGTAGCTCGGCCTCCTGCCTCCGCGGCGTCTCATCCTGCAATTGCTGCTGCAGGTATCTCAGCTTCTCCTGGACCCGGAGAGAGAGCGGGTCACGGTGTCCAACCCTTCTCCTCCTGATACGAACTCCACCCCCAAATCTGCCCCAGTAATCGGAGATTGGAAAGTAAAAAGCCCCGGAGGAGAGAATATTAGGAAGTACCACGTGAAGTGGGAGGGAATGTGCCATTCGAACTCCACGGGAATCCAATTCGGAAATTCCCCTGTCTGCCTCCGCGACTCCATCCAGCCCTCCCCTCCACCCCAACTCCAGTCCTCTTAGGTGTCAAAGACCAGTCCCTGCCCCTTAGGAAGAACAATGGCAACTTTTTCAGCATTTCGTTGGAAAATAAGCGAGCATGTGAGCAGGACCAGCTTTCTCAGTCCAAGTCCAGCTCAGGTCTCTCTCTCTGGGACTGGAGTCCCCATTCTGGGCATGGAAGCCTCCTTCGGATCCTCCTTATTAGTAGATTCTAAGTGTGACCGTGAAAGCAGGGGCAGTGTCATCGTGATGGTGGCAGCAGGGCAGGAAGTCCCACCTGCGGTGTCTCCCAAGTCCCTCAGGTGTCCATCCTCCTCCCACAAATCTCCGGACCTCCTTACCTCCAGTAGGGCAGAGTTCTGCTTCAAGACGTTGGTTTTGATTTCAGCGTCTTCCACCGACCGGGTCACCTTCCGGCAGTTCTCCTGGGTCAGGACACCAGGGCGGGGGCCCTGCCTTCCCATTCCAGTTCCGCTCCCTACCCTTAGGCTGGCTATTTCCAAGCAGGCTCCACCCCGCAGGCAGAACCCCACTTACTAGTCCTGGTCCCTTGACCAAAGGAATGCTTCTGGCCTCGCCAGAACTGCGCTGTGCTGCTCCTCCGCCTCCTCCCATCTCTCTCGCGTCTAGGACTCCATTCCTTCCCTCTTCCTCCCACCCACTTCTCACCCGACTCCCGCCCCCAGGGGCTCACCTTGAGTTGACTACAGTACCCTTCCAACTCTTCAGCCTCTTGCCGCCTTCTCTCTAGATTCTCGCTCAGCACCGAACACTCACTCTGGAGCCCAAAGAGAGGAGGGTTACCGAGGTCAACAGGGGGACAGCCCACGGAAGGGGGATCTGGGGTTAGGAATGTCCCTTTCCTTTCTGAGTCCAGAGCTTCCCAACTGGGCTAGGAATGCAGCAGAGTACAGGCTTGTCTGACTAACGAGCAATCCGCCCTGGAGGAAGACGAGGTCTGGGGAGAAGAGGCGGTGCTCCTACCTGCAGGGTCTGCACATGCTGATTAACCCGGGTGGTCTTTTCCTTCAAACTGGTGATGGAGTCTTTGGCCCGGACCAATCCACTGTTGACCCCGCTCTAGGGAAGAATGGGAGACAGTGGTTAGTGGGTGTGTGGAGGCTCTGTTTGCACCCTGATTTGGCACCTCTTGGATTCTTGGTGCACCTGTTTGATAAACCCAAGGGAGAGCCAGTTTTCTTCATGGTGGAYTGGCAGAAGAATGAGTGGGATCCAAGAGGGACTGAGGGGAAGGGTAGGGTGCTCAGATAGGTAGGGGAAGGAGGATGGTCTCAACAAACACTTTCGTGTGTGTCTGAGTACTGGGGACTGATTCCCCAACCCTTCCATAAATTTTATTTTGAGATAGGGTCTCACTAAGTTGCCGGGGGGTGGCCTCAAACTTAATGATCCTTCTGCCTCTGTCACCCAAGTAGCTGGAATGACAGGCAGGCAGGACTTCACCAGGAAAAACAGACTGTTAAAACACATGCTCTGACTTCCTCTCCCAGCACTTTTCAGATCATGAGCACATTCTCCACCAGGCCAAGCATTTACAGGTCTTTCATTCTTCACAATCACACTGTGTGAGATTCTACAGCCCCATTTGCAAGGGGTCTTAAAGGGTGACATTCCTGTACTCCCAGCTACACAACACATTAGGTGACCTTGTCAGAATTTAAACTCAGAAACTTTATTTTAAACCATGACACCATGTAGCTTCTGATCATCATTTCTTGATTTTTAAAAAAATATTTATTTATTTTTTAGTTGTAGTTGGACACAATACCTTTATTTATTTTTATGTGATGCTGAGGATCGAACCCAGGGCCTCGMAAGTGCTAGGAGAGCTCTCTACCGCTGAGCCACAACCCCAGCCCCATCATTTCTTGATTTTTGAAAAAAACTTGTGGTCGGGGTTGGGGATTTAGCCCAGTGGCAGAGCGCTTGCCTAGCATGCGTAAGGCCCTGGGTTTGGTCCTCAGCCCTGTAAAAAACAATTACTAAAAAAGTATAAAAAAATTAAAAAAAAAAAAAAAAGGATTAAAACTTGTGGTCCTTGGGATTGAACCCAGAGGTGCTCTACCACTAAGTGACATCCCCAATCCTTTTTATTTTGGGGAGAGGGGTACTATGAATTGAACCCAAGGATGTTTGACCACTGAATCACACCCCCAGCCCTTTTTTAATTTTTWATTTTGAGACAGAATCTCACTGAGTTGCTGAGGCTTGCTTTGAATTTGTGATTCTCCTGCCTCAGCCTCCTGAGTAGGTGAGATTATAGACACATGCCATCGATATTTTATACCACCATAAAATGCTTTGTGACTTCTGCCAAACTATGGTTCCAAGAAGGAGGCATGTGGCAGGCTCTATTCTTCCCATTTCCACTGCCACAGAAGCCTTAGTGTCACACAGAATTGCCAGAGACTACATTTCCCAGGCTCCCTTGCAGCTAGGTATGGTCAGTTCCATGGGGCTAAGTTCTGGCCCATGGAACTTGGATGAAAATAGGTAGTCAATTTCAGAATTATGCCTTTAAAAGAAAAGGAGTAAAAACTTCTCTCTGCCCACTGTCTGGAATGCAAAGTTGACAGCTATCTTGGACCAGCAGATGGAGACCAGTGTCAGGAGCTTCCATGGATGAACATGCCTTCAAGTCCTGATGCCCCGAGGATCTGACCAGTTACTACATTTCACAGTGACTTGGGTGTTGAACCAGCTCGGATAGCTAGGTGTGGCTCCAGGTGTAGGTGTCACCCGTGGGGGTTGAGCTACACTCACCTGTTCCGTTGTAATCCTACCCCTCTGCCCTTTTTGGGATAGGATGTTCCATGAAACCTCCACTTGTGTGTTCCCTAGATAAGAATACAGAATTCCGGTGGCTCTCTTTCTTTCCATGGGCCCTTAAGCTCATAAAGCCGTCTCTGGAATATTGAAAAGGTACTTCTGTGTGTTTTTGTGCTTTCTCTGTCGTTTTCTTGAGTTACTGAAATAGTCAGATTTTGTGAACCCAGCAGTAGGTCGCCAGCTAAGATAGATGCTGTCAGCCAGACCTGAATTCTCAACACTGTGAGGTTGCCCATTCAAATCCAACACCTGTGAAAACTTTTACAGTTCAGAGGGCTTCTTTTGTCTTGTGCAAACTGTAATTTTGTGTCTGTCACAACAGTGAAATTTGTAAACTAATCACAGTTATTTATTTATTTATTTATTTATTCATTCATTCATTCATTCATTCATTCATGGTACTAGTGATTCAACCCAGGGGCAATTTACCATGAGTTATATACTTAGCTCTTTTTATTTTGAAACAGGATCTTACTAAGTTGTTTAGGGCCTGACTAAGTTGCTGAGGCTGGCCTTGAACTTGGGATCCTCCTGTCTCAGCCATCATGCCCAGCTATAGTTTATATTATTATTTTTTGGGGGGAGGGGGCAGCTACCAGATATTGAACTCAGGGGCACTCAACCACTGAGCCACATCCTCAGCCCTAATTTTTATTTTATAGACACAGGGTCTCACTGAGTTGCTTAGTGCCTCACTTTTGCTGAGGATGGCTTTGAACTCTCAATCCTCCCACCTCAGCCTCCCAAAAATTAGTTCAGAAGTCTCTTAAAAAAAAAAAAAAAAAAAAGCTCAGTGGCGAGTGCTTGCCTGGCATCTGTGAGGGTTTGAGTTTAGTCCTCAGAAACACACACATACACACACACACACACACACACACACACACCAAATTAATTAAATAACATTTAAATTTTAAAAGGCAACTACAATAAGCATTAACAAAATAAACCCTCAGGAGTTGAAAAAATCTATTTCCAGAGCTGCCACATCATGATACTTGAAATGTCCAGTTGTTAATAGAAAAATCATGATTCATGCAAAGAAAAACAAGCAACTATGGTCCATCCACCGGGTTGGTGCTGGAGGAGAAAGCAATCAGTAGAATCTGTTCCTGAGGAAGCTTGGATTTGGATTTACAA